TGTAAATGTTAATAAATTTGAAGCTATAAGGAATATTTGTTATCCAGTGGGTAACCATAGATACCTGAAACCCGATCGAGTATGAGGGTGGTTTTGATTTTCTACCAAATTCTTATATGAATATGGATATTGATAAAATATGTACTATGCGCCCCACCCGAACGGTTGCCATCAATACTCTGATTTGGCCTCTGCCCAAATCAAGATAACTTTGCCCCCTATTTGCCTTTTGAATCTTGGTTATAGCTGGGATGAGATACAGTCACAACCCACTTCCTAACCATTGGATACACTCACTCTTCTGTCTCTTTTTTTTTTCTTTTCAAATTGATGGTTAGGATTAAAAGTATGGTATTTTTGGAAGGGGAAAATATTACCACACCCAATTATTGTCTCTCATGGCCATATAAAAAAAAACCTAACTCCTCCCTCTCCCCCTCCTCCCTCTCTCCAGCAGACGTCACCGTCGCCGACCTCCAGTACCGCCGCCGGCCTCCGCGTCCCTCCACCCTCGACAACCTCCGCTGCCCTCCACAACCACCGCCTCCACAATCCTCCGCCTCCCTCCACCCCCTATCGTTGCCAGCTCTTTGTCGTCATCGTGTCTCCTCTCCTTGCCTCTTTCGGTGCGAGTCCCTCTTCCGTTGCGAGTCTTATTCAAGGATTTCGCCGGAGAAAGTCTGTCGGTCGAAGTAGAGTGGCTGTTGCTGGAAAAGGAAGAGAGAGATAGGAAGAGAGAGAATTGTATTTATTATAGAATTTAAATTTAAAAATTGTATTTATAATGGATTTTTAATTTCAAATCTGTAATTAATACAAAAAATTAATTAATAAATTTTTTTTTTGTCATACCCGAAATGTTTTTGGTTGTAAATTTCACAACCCTTAGGGAAGTAACCGTATCCCGCCCGTTATACCTCTGTTGAAGAGAAATGGTTGGGCTAAAAAACTCTTTTATCACCTTCTAAGTATTGGTTTGTAGACAAGCTAAGAGCGATTCCAACGGTTGGATGGGTGGGCACCAGTCCATCAATGCAAAAATTTGATTATATTGATCCCTAAATTTGGACCATTTCTCGAAAGGGGAAATTTAGAAGTTTCATTGTGTGTATTTGATATCTAGAAATTCAATTCCCATAATCGAGTATCATTGACAAATGATACATCAATGGCTAATCAATCCTCCATAGACGAAAATCATATATCTGGAACTAGATCTGGCAATCGAGTCGGGTTGGATAATTTCAGGCTGGACCTCGGGGTGAGTCATGTTGAATTAGCTAATTTCGGATCAAATATTGACCCAACTCAACGGGTTTCGGGTTGGGTTATAGGTCGTTTCGAGTTATGAGCGCTCTCAGAAACAATATCAAACATGTTTCATATTTTTTTTAAAAACACAAATTTTAACATATGCATGACAAAAGTTTACCTAAATATGTCAATTAATGTATTTTCAAATCCTCCTATGCTAATGAAATGAAATATAAATTGCAACAATCGTCAAAAAATATTGACAAGAGTAATAGTACTACAAGCCACAAGATATTTGATCATCCTTTTACTTCAATCATGTCTTTCAAATCATTGTAAATTGTCTTAAACATCTCACAACTTTTATGAGTGATTTTGTCATTTGGGAGTGTCATGAAATGGAACGGGCTTAATGAAACGACCTGCTAACCCACCCAATCCGACCTAGAAACTTATATTTTTCGGACGGGTTCGGATCAGATCAACGGGCCAGTTCATAATTTGTCAATTTCATGAACTCATCCATAAAAGACAACTCTTTGATAGGTTATGCATGATTATGGTAAGTAGTTACCCACATGAACCAAGAGACCAAGACACTTTAGAATATATAAGCTGATCAAAAGAAGGTAACCAAAATATATAAAAAAAACAATAACTAATTCATCAATCACATATAGGGCTAGTTTGACCCTGTTGTAGTTTTTGCAGAAGCAGCTTTTGGTTGGAGCTTTTAAAGAAGTACTTCTCAAAAAAAGCAGTTGAGTGTTTGGCTGAAAACTATTAGAAGTGCTTTTTAATATAGCCGGAAAACACAATATGCGCCCCAGCCACACCTTCATAACTCCAAATACCCGGATTCGTTATAGTTCCTCAATGTAAAATGACTATACAGTATTTATAAGATAAAATATGAATAAAATTCTAAACAATAAAAAAGTAGTTTTCAAAATGGATCTTATTATATTTTTTTCCGTTGAATCAGTTTCTCTTTTATTAATGTAAAAAAAAACAATACAACGAAGACAGAATCCCATGGATTCTGTGCCGGTCCAAAGTTCTCAATAGGGGTGGTAAACGGTAATCCGGTAAACAGTTACCGTTTTACCGAACCGTTTACCGGCGGTATCGGCAGCCGAGCGGGAAGTTGGGGGAGTCGGTTTACCGGACACGGTATCGGTAAATCGGTAATACCGATACCGAAATCCCCCCTCCCTACTCCACTAACATATAACATATACATCATTATTTACAAATATAAAATATTACATACATGAATGTAAGTAAGTATAGGCCTCCAAAATATTGTAAATAAGAGTTAATAATAAATTATTAATTATAAAAATGATGAAAAAAACTCAAAAAAACCAAAATATTACAACATCAACCCACTTCCAGAAATTCGGTTCGGTAAATATTCGGTAAACCGACCGAAATCGCTTCTTACGGTATTTCGGTAATACCGGTTTGTAACCATTTACCGGTAATTCGGTAATCGGTAAACCGGTTACAAACCGGTATCGATAATCGGTAACCAATTTGACCAACTTCGGTATACCGAAACCGATAAATTCGGTAAACAATTTACCGTTTACCGACCGAATCCCACCCCTAGTTCTCAACCTTTCTCCCCTACACTATTCTATATCTGCTACTTACATAATAACCTAAATAGACTCAAACCAAAACTCACTCAAGATACCCCAAACTTGCCAATTCAGCTCGCAGTATGGCATTTCCAGCTACAAGATACCCCAAACTTGCCAATTCAGCTCGCAGTATGGCATGTCCAGCTACCATGTACTGCAAATCCGCCTTAAGTAACACATCGACCTTTTCAGGTTCCTGACGTGTTTCACCACGAAGAACCCTGCAACGCTCTTTCCATATAAAGGTCAGCACCATACACCATACAACTCCATGCCAACCTGCTTTCTCAAGGGAACAAACTACAGAACCTGCTGCAGCAAGCATTGCATCCCAATTGCAAGAATCAAGCAACCTGCAATGTAATAACGAAACAAGCCTGCGAGAAAAAGAGCAATGCAACAACAAATGCTCTCGAGTTTCCATTGGGAACGCACATAATGGGCAAGAAGCATCAGTCAGTTTCCTCCAGCTCAGCAGCTTATCGTTAGTCACAATAGCATTCTTAATAATAAGCCATGAGACTGTAACGAGGAGGACAGAACTTACTCAATACAAGTTTGAACCATGGAACCTCAGACTGTTTTGCGCGCAGAGACTCCCAAACCTGACGAACAGAGTAAACACTCATCAGCTTCCCTCCCCAATAAATCTCATCATTCCTTTGTTGCATCCATGGCTGAGTTTATCTCTTGTCTTGAGTAGCCTTCTCCAGGTCCAGGAGTTGCTTTACCGGGGCTTCATCGACCACATATCACCATGTTTACATTTATATTCGTACATCCATGGCACCCAGAGAGTTCCAGACTTGAGCAGAAATAGCCATAGCATCCTAGCAGTGCAAGCCAGATTCCAAGCGTGAAGGTCCTTAACTCCCAACCCTCCCTCTTTCTTTGGAAACGCAAGCTTCTCCCAAGCAATTTTTGCCTTCTCTTCATACCATGCCAAAGAAACTGGGAGCAGACTTTCTGTACCTTTTTCATCACCTTTTTTGGAAGAACAAATAGTTGCATTCAGAACTGTAAAATCCCCATCAAGACTGAGTTTAATAATTGCAAGCGACCTGGATAAGAGAGTTGTTTAGCTCTCCATGACTTTATCATTTTGGTGATCTTGTCCACCAAAATGTCCACCTCTGTTGATGATAACTTTCCTGTGATCAATGGTAATCCCAAGTAGCAAACCGACATTCTACCCTCATGGAACCCCGAAAGTAGCAGAGCATTTGACTTGTATTTGATCTTGTCCACCAAAATGTCCACCTCTTGTTAGATTTCTTTTATATTAAATAATATAATTTTATAATTTATTTTATTTCTGAAATGTTATAAATGTAATAAAATTTTATATTCTAAAATAAAATTAAAATATAATAAGGATAATCTTGTATTTTCAGAACAGCTTTTCGCAGAAGTTCTAAATCGGAGTTTCTGCTTTTATGTTATAAAAAAACACTTTTTAGCTTTTTAAAAAACGAACTTTTAGAAGTGTTGGCCAATTTTGAGCTTTTAAAACCAAAAAAACACTTCTAGAAGTCCGGCTAGGGATGACAATGGGTCTGGTCGGGGACGGATAGTGCATATCCGTTACCCTACCCAAAGTAGTTCGGGTTTTACCCATACCCATACCCACATGTGAAACGGGTAGAAAATTAAAATCATGCCCATACCCGTTCGGGTTTCGGGTATCCACGGTTATCCATGGATAATAATTTCTCTTCATAACTCCAACCAATATGTTAACATTCACACGTATTCTCACATTACATAAGAGGAAAAGTACGACAATAGTTCACTAGAATGAAGAAAATTAACTAAAACAACACAATTTCATGAAAATATTATATTTATATGCTAAATATAAAATATGTTAGAGAAAAATAATAATTATTTCTAGAGAAAATACACATGCATGGGTTGGATAGTTAGAAACCCATGCCCACCCATTACCCGCAATATTCGGGTTCGGGTTTTACCCGTACCCACTAAATATCCTTCGGGTTCGGATTTTACCCTACCCGATTAGGCCGGATTCGGATGGATATCCACAGTTACAGATATTTTTGCCATCCCTAAGTCCGGCCATATATGGTGTTAGGCATAATATTCATAATTACTAACCCATTCTTTATTTATTAACTAACTAATTGATCATTGCGTATACATAATATCCACAGGAGAAGCCCAACCCAATAGAGATATATTCGAATTAAACTATACGCAGGCGCTTCCTTCCAGTCTACTAATCAATTATGCAATTCCTACTTTTCTTCTCCCTCTGGAAATCATCAGAACGATGGACAGCAGCAGCATGGATTACTGCAGCAGTTACACTGATTCTTTGTACATTTGCAACAACGAGGGCGCCGTACCTTGGGACAGCAGCACCATTTCCATTTCCATGTGCAGCAAGAGTTGTTCTTCTCGCCGCCGCCGCCGCCGCAGCCATTTTTCGAGCAGCAAGAAAAAGAAGGGAACTTGAAAGCGCAACAGCAAGAACTCAAATCAGGACAGCAGCAGGAGTTGTTCTTCTCGCTGCTTCCGCCACCGCCACCGCTGCTGATCTTTCTACAGTTTCCGCAGATGCAGCAATTGAAGCTGGGAAAACGACAGCCACAGGAAGCGGCGGCGGAGGAGAAGCAGCAGCAGGGCCAGTTGTTGGGCGGCGGAGGGAGGCAGCTGCGGCAGTTACAACAGCCGTCGCAGCAGCGGCTGGAACAGCAACTAGATGTGCGAGGGCAGGGATTGGAGACGTAGCAGCGTGGCAATTTTGGACAACAGCAAGAGAAACCGGAGCAGCAGCAGCAGCAAATCCATGAGAAGTTGAAACAGGGTATCCCACTGCACAATAATCAGATTGGATGACTTAATGGAAAAAAAAAAAGAAGAAAAAAACAGAGCAACCCACCAAAACAGAGAGCAAGCCCCAAAGTAAAAGGGAAAGAGAGAGAGAGAGACAAGAAAGTAGTACCATAGCCATTTCCAGAATCGGCAAGACCTTCTGTTCTTTCGGTTTCTGCTTTATGAAGAAAAAAGTTCCCAAGTTAGTAAACAGGTCTGGGGAAAGATGCTAATTATGGTTAATGAAATTGAGATCTTTGTTTGTGGGTCTTACGTGGGTATCAGCGGGTCCGGGTTCCCTACCACAAAATCGCTTACTCTGCACCCAATTTCGTGGCAAATGTTTTAGAAAATGCTAGCAGGAAGTGAAGATTTCACTGAAGGAGGAAGGAGTGAGAGATTTGCGTACTCTTTGCAGCATTGGGATGCTGGGTGTAGACTTTGTACAAATTTTAGCTCTTCCTGCTCAGTAGCCAAACAGTTAATTGGGTGAAAATGGAGGGGGGAACGAAACAAAATCAAGCAGAAACCCCAATCCTATTAATTAATTGGACTTTATCATGCTCCATTGAAAAGGGAGGCAGTAATTAACTAGTGAAAGTGGAAAATCTCCCTACAGTTTCTAGCAGAGAGAAAGAGGGAGAGAGATAAACCCTGCTGGCTTTTGGGGGAGTGGAAGTGGGGTTCATCTCTGCATGAAGAAGGTGGCAGTTGAGAGGCAGAAGGAGATGGTTTGTTTCACTGCTTCACTGTAATCATAACTCAAAGATAGTGTAAGATTTCTGCACTCTCAGACCGTGAAGTTGGGCTTCTTTGGGCTGCCGAGATGAATTGTAAACGACAGGGGAAGATAGCAACTTTCAGGGGACCAATTTCAACTACAAATGAAGGCTGTACTACTCTCCTGTTGCCTTAACATAATTTGGGTTTGTGTTGCAAGTCTTCACTCTCTCTTTCTCTCTCTCTCTCTCTCTCTCTCTCTCTCTCTCTGCACTCACTCTCTCTTTTCATCACTAGCGGAAAAGTAAAGGGCTTCACTGTAAATTTCGATTCAAATGGAGGCGCGTCTAAACCGAAACAGAGTACACTGAAAGAAAGCAGGGGTAAATGCTCTACCTCAAGGAAGTTAATTTCTCGCTCGAGCATCTGAACTTTAGCCAATTCCCTGCGTTTGCCATACAAATCAGGGTAGTCCGGCGGCGACTTGGGGCACGGCGGCGGCAACGATTTAACGGAGGAAGAAGAGTGGGGAGAACAACCTGATGCAGGGGCGGCCATTTCCCTTTTTTTTTTCTTCTGGAAGTCGAAAGATTTTCACTTTCTGGTCTCAACAATGGACGACTCCAGTCTCCAGCAACAAAACATCCATTCTCCTTCTTTTCTCCTCCTTGCTCTTGCTTTACATAGAGTAACGGAAGGACAGGAAGAGGGAGAGAAGAAGAAGAAGAAGGAAAGGTGTGTTGGGGAATGCAGAAAGAGAGCAAGCAAAGTAAGTACTGAAAGTGAGAAGGTGGAAGCGAGAAATGGTAAAAGTGAAGGCACAAAGAAGAGAAGGGTGCGTTTGATGGCGGGTGAAATTTGGGGGAAGGGCAGAGGGAGAAAAGAATGGAAGAAAACAGAGTAAGTAAAAACAATCTGTGTGGTGACAGGGCGGGGGTTGGTTTGTAGTAAATAGTAATTGTGAATTGTGAATTGTGTGCGGGCGTTTGGCTTTGGCAGAGTGGTGACAGCGAGGAGGCAAGGAAAGGACTTGAGGGTGAGGGGCAGTGAGTAAATACTTGGGGAGCTGACACAAAGTCTGAAGAGATAGAAACAAAGGGAAAGGTTAAAGAAAAACAGAGGGATGGATGGAGAGGCAAAAGAAGAAAAGGCAAATGAAGAGCGGCAGGGCAGGGCTTTGCAGGGAGTGGTGGCTGGCTCGGTACTGGCTACTATGAGATCATGGATAATAGTTAGGATTGTTAATCGGTTAATTTTGTTAGCGGTATAATTGATAATCGAATGAATAAATGATTAATTATTTTGCTCATAATATCTTGAAATGAGTCTCTATTAAAAAAAACATCTTGGTTTGACAAGTTAAAGTAAAATACATTTGTAGAGAAAAAATGCATAAATCACAAACCTTGTTAGCCCGGTTGTTTTCTCTCTGAGTTTTAGGGTTTTGAGAAGGAGGGCCGATGGCCGCCGCGCAGGGCGCCCCTGCTAACTGAGCGCAGCTGTTCGGCGTGGGGGAGCCTAATCGGTTGAAGTATGTGGCGCCGGACGTGATTAATGGTTCGTTGGTCATTCCGCGTGCAGTGAGGGACCAAGGGGCAGCTCGATGGAAGCACGCTCTGGTCGGGCAGTTTCTCTCACCGGCGCCGGAGATAGGGCTACTGAGGCGTTGGGCTCGTCGATTTTGGGGGCGTGATGGTCGGATTACGGTCTCTCACTTCGGGGAGCAACTATTTCTCTTCCAGTTTTCGGATCCAGATACTAGCACCTGGGTTTTCGAGAATGGTCCGTGGCACTATGACAATAACCCCCTCTTCCTTCGACGCTGGGTTCCAGGTATTCAAGCTGTGAGTATGAATTTGAATTCCCTCCCGATCTGGGTTCGTATCAGCGGGTTGCCACTTGAGTATAGTACAGAGGAAGGTTTGAGTAGGATTGCTAGTCTAATTGGGAGGCCACTCTGGATGGATCAAGCTACTCTGATTGGGACGCAGGCAGGTGTAGCTCGAGTCTGTGTGGAGGTTTCTGCCGAGTTTGACTTCCCTGCTACGATCAGTGTTGCACCTGAGGGAGATGCTCCAATGTCTCTGGATGTTCGGTATCTTCGAGTTCCATCAGTATGCAAGCAGTGCAAGGAGTTTGGGCATTGTGAGGGTCAGGGAAAGGAATGCAAGGTTGTGCAGATTGCTGCTAGCAAGGACTTTGTCAGGGCAGAGGCAATGACAAGTGAGGTAGCCTGGGTTGCAAATCCTAAGGCCTCGACACTGGTTACTAATGGGGAAGAGTCAGGGAAGGGGGAAGGGTCTGTTGAGATGGGTCCTAGCCCAGAACCTGAAAGGCAGGATGAAGCTGCTAAATCACATAATGGGGGTTTGGTAACTGACTTGTCTGTTGCAGAAGAGGGGGCTCTAGGGCAAGCGAATAACTCTGGACAGTCCACTGATGATTCAGCTGGAAGTGGAATGGGGTCTTGTAGGAAGGATGTTACACCTACAAGCTCTTATGCTGGGTCAGGTAAGTTGATTGATGAGGATGGGTTCCAATTGGTTACAAGGAAGGGGAAGGGGATTATGTATGATTCTGCTCTTAAGGTTCCAGTCTCTGTTGTTCAGGCTAGGGTTCCTTTAAATGCTCAGGGTCATGCTCTTGTTGATCGAGGCCCTCCTAGGAAGGGGAGGGGTCGGAAGAATAAAACTGTTGGAATCTCAGGGGCTTTAATGCCTCTCAGAAACATAGATATATTAGTAGACAGTTATTAAAGTTAGATATTGATTTTGCAGCTATATTAGAAACTAGAGTGTTGGAGAAGAATGCAGGGGATATTGTTCAGCGTCACTTTAGTAGTTGGCAGCATTTAAATAACTATGCATATTCAGCTTCAGGGAGGGTTTGGCTTTTTTGGAAGCCTAGTCTGAAGGTTCAGAAAGTTCAGATGGGGGAGCACTTTATTCAGGTTAGAATTGAAGGGGCTTCTAATTGCACTGTCACAGCTATATACAGCCCGAATAAAGCAAGTGAAAGGGTGGAATTGTACTCTGAGTTGTTGAAATATAAAGTGGTGGGGGAACCTGGTGTTTACATGGGGGATTTTAATGCTATTCTGGATGTTTCAGAGGCTTCGAATACTGCAGTGATGAATCAGGGGGTCTGGAGTTCAGGGGATGGGCTAAGGATATGGATCTGACTGATCATAAGATCCTTGGATCACAATTCACCTGGTGGAACAAGCAGCTGGCAAATCCAATTACCAAGAAGCTCGATCGTTTTCTTGTAAATGTGGAGTGGTTGGTTTCTTTTCCTCAGAGTGTAGCCAAAACGTTAGCACCAGGAGTATCAGACCATTGTGGTCTGGTTCTTGAGTTGGAACCACAATTAGGCTCACTTCCAAAGCCTTTTAAGTATTTTAAATTCTGGCAGAAGCATCCACAGTATGGGAGTCTATTGGATGAGGCATGGGGGGGAGAGGCTAGAGGGCTATCCTACCAAAAATTCTACTATAAGTTGAAGCGTTTCAAAGACAAGCTGAAGCAATTAAATCGATCTGAGTACTTTGACATATCTGAGAGAGCTAGAGAAGCAGAGAAAGCCCTTGAGCAACAGCAGCAGCTAGTTCTCCAGGATCCAACTGCAGAAAATGTGAGAAGGGAGGCTGAGTTGGCAACCTTCTGCCATGATACTCAGCTTGCAGAAGAGAGTTTCTTCAGGCAAAAGTCAAGGATACGAAATATTCAAGAAGGAGATGCCAACACAGCTTATTTTCATGCTATGGTGAGGGTGAGAAATCATAAGCAGACAATCATGAAGCTAGTAAAAGATGACAATACAGAAGTAACAGAGGTAAAGCAAATGGGAGAGGTAGCAGTTAGGGGTGGGCATCCGGTTCGGTAAACCCGAACCGGACCGAACCGAAACCGAGGTGAACCGAACCGAAACCGAAATATGGCTGTTCGGTTCGGAATTCGGAAAGAAAATGTTCATACTTCGGAAACCAAGGTTCATCCAACCGAACCGAGGTTCCGAGTTCCGAACCGAAATTCCAAAATAGACCCACAACAACTCAACTGAACCTAAAAGCCCACAGTTATTACAATTAAAAAAAACCCAAAGCCCACTATTATACCTCACAGCCCACAACAATCCACTCCCCACAGCCCACAATTCATAGCAAAACCCTAGCCCAACCCTTAAGCCTTAAGGCCCCCTCCCAATTCCCAAATGAAAACCACAGGTCACAGAGTGGCCGCCGCTGCTGCCACACCGTTCGGCGGCCGCCATTCCCCGCGACGACTCACATCCCTCGCACTCCCCTGCCTTTCGGCTCTCCGACGAGCGACTCCATCAAATCGGCCATCGCCTCCACCCTCTTCTCCTTCACGCTATGTCGCCATCTCACCTCCTTCACTGTCTGGAAACCCTAAAAGCCCTCATTGAAGAGGAGGAAGAAGAAGAAGAAGCAAGAATAATAGGCAAAAATCAGAAATCGGAATCCAGCGGCTACTGACGGCAACATGCAAAAATCAAAATCAAGGAAGGAGCTAGTGGTTGACTCACTTCGTCAATCGCCATCTGAATCTGCACGCTCTCCGTCTCTGAATCTGCTCGCACCATCGCCGCCTACCCCTGAGTTCTCTCCGTCAGTCGCCATCGTCGCCTGCTTTGACTTGCATGTTCTCGCCATCGTCGCCTGTTGCCGCCGAGTCCAGAGACCAAGAGAGGGGAGGAGTGGTTGCATTTGTGCTATGAGGAGAGAGAGACAGATAGGTAAAGAGAGAGATAAAGTAAGTGGTGGGAGGGGGAAAGAGTGATTCACGTGAAAAGAAAAAGGTGGGGTGGGAGTGGGAAAAAGTGCTTCCCGTGAAAAGAAAAAGGTGGGGTGGGAGTTATTTTCTGGAACTTCGGGTATGGCCTCGAAAACCGAACCGAACCGAAATATATCTCGGTTCGGATGAACCGAACCGAAATATATTTCGGTTCGAATTCGGTTTGTGCTGTGAACTACTTCGGGGAGTCGGTATTTGTCTGTTCGGTTCGGTTTGAACCGAACCGACCGAATGCCCACCCCTAGTAGCAGTTGACTTTTATAAGAGGCTTTTAGGGGAGGTTGATAAAGCGGTTCAGTGCAATTCAGTTGACTATTTCCAGAATCAATTAAGGCAGAGGCTTGATTCAGCGGGTGTGCAGATGTTGTTAGAACCAGTCAATAGAGAGGAGATCAGAGAGGTGTTTAAAAGGATGCCCAATGATAAAGCCCCTGGGCCAGATGGCTTCACAGCCGAGTTTTACAAATCTGATTGGGGAGTAATTGGAAATCTGGTGGAGGAGGTAGTTCTGGACTTCTTTCATACAGGGGTAATGCCTACACAGGTGAATTCTACAATCATCTCTCTAATCCCTAAAGTTACAAATGCTGATAAAATGAAAGATTTCAGACCGATATCTTGCTGTAATGTGCTGTATAAAGGAATTTCAAAGCTTCTTTCGAATAGGCTTGCAGCTGTTCTTCCTTTGGTGATTGGCAGATCACAGTCTGCTTTCATCAAAGGAAGGTTAATAAGTGATAATATCTTGATGGCTAGTGAATTGGTGAAAGATTACCATAAAAAGAACACAACCTTTAGATGCGTTTTGAAGATAGATTTAATGAAAGCTTTCGATTCAGTCAACTGGTCTTTCCTGTTAAACATGCTTCTTGCTATGGGGTTCCCTGACTCATATGTTCGACTTATTGAAGCCTGTATAACTACCCCAAAGCTCAGTGTTTCTTTTAATGGTGGTCTATGTGGCTACTTCTCTGCTGGTAAGGGCCTTAGACAAGGGGACCCCCTTTCCCCATATTTATTCACTGTGGCGATGGAGTATTTCTCATGCTTAATTCAGAGGGCAGCATTAGATAATCAGGTTCCTTATCACCCACGTTGCAAGGCACTAGAGATCACTCATC